ATTCATTTTGGTTGATTCAGAGTGTGATCATGAGAGACTGTGTTTTGTGGTATCTTTCTTCTTAGTTAGTGTTTAGGCATTACGAATGTTGAAGAGTTTGGCTTTCTTATGAATGTTGCTTCTCTCATTTGCTATTTTTGATTTAGTTTAGTGTTGTTCTTTTTGGTTGAATAGGTTGGTGGACGCCAATACATAGTGTTTCCAGGGAGATATCTCTACACTCAGAGACTGAAAGATGCAAATGTCGATGACCAGGTATATCCACATTTCCTTTCAATGATTTGAATTCTTCATTGTAAAATTTCGGTGAAACGAAATGATATATCTAGAAAGGGATGGTGTCACTATGGAAGATGAGTAAACTTTGTGGCTTGTGTAGAAGTTCTATTTTTCTTTGTCTATGTTAACATTGTGTTAAGCTTTCTCTGTTACTTTTTGGTGATTCCTGAAGTTTTCATATTTGCTTCTTCTCTTGATCAGATTGTTCTCAACAAAGTGTTGCTTGTTGGAACAAAGACACACACTTACATTGGCAAACCGGTTGTGACCAATGCCACTGTACATGCTGTAGTGGAAAATCAGGTAAAACAATACAGATGCTTTCTTATATTCTTATTGGTGTTTTGTGTTGGATAACTGCAATGTTTTTATTTGCTACAGGGTCTGAATGACAAAGTGGTAGTCTTCAAGTACAAGCCTAAGAAGAAATACCGTAGAAATATTGGTCACCGACAGGTATATATCCACTGTTGATAAATCCAGCTTTCTGTTCCTTGAAATCGAACTATGTAGTGTTATAATCCACACCACAGGACTGCTATCAATTAGTTGTCATAATTTGCTGTGCTGATAATTTGTTCTCATATGATTTTCTGTCTTGATATTTTAGCCAAATACGAGGATTAGGATTACAGGAATCACGGGGTATGAAGAGTATCCAGCGGCGCCCAATGTTGCGGTTTAAATGTGTTGAGAAGTATAGGATCTTTGACACAAAATGTTTCTTGAATGTTAAAATTTTCTGATCTTCTCTATGTAATTTTGTAAGGACCAGATCATTTCATTTCTTCTGAGATCCCTTTTATTAATATGTACCTGCTTTTGCCATTCTTTGATCACAAATTCTAAGTTAGTGTAAGAAAAACTTCATCATTGCTCGCTCATCCATTCATCTAGGCTTACTGATGAAATTTATAGAATAGATTTTATTGAGTTGTGTGTTGATATGGAAACAACTTCCAACACATTTGTCGCTGGTTTTTCACTTCAGTGTGTGTTTTTTTGTAGTCGCACAAATGTGTCGTTGCGATTCGAAAGTGGGCTGGAATTCAGGTTTCAGGTTTTTGATAGTCTGCTCTACTTGTTTCGTAAGATGCATTCTGGTGATTTTAGGATGATGAATTGAGATATTTGAGATGTTTTGTGGTGACTTTCGGATATGAAGAATTGAGAAATGAGGTTTTTTAGATTATGCAAAGATAGTCACCAATGGCTAGTTGTTGTGTACCACAGATTGAGAAGGTTATACATGTTGGGTTGTCTTTGTTTTCTCACCTTTGTGGTTGATTAGGTCCGTAGTTTTGATTTCCTAGTTTGCAATGTTTTTTTTTTTTTTTTTAAGTTTAGTGCGACAAAACCCCTTTACCAAAAATAAAGAAAAACACAAGATCTAGGTTAAGACAATTTATAAATAACTAAATACTGACTTATTAATTATTTAAAAATATATGCTCTAAAGTATATTTCATTTAGTTTATAAGATTCCAATTTGTTCATAGATTTCTTTTCTAACTTAAATTTCAGAAATTGCATAATATTTCCCATCTCTTTCTATCTTTTAATTATAATATTAGTCTTCAATGTAATGTTATTAAAGTAGACTTTTAAAATCTGAGAAACTATTGAACATGCATGATTCTTATTAAAAAAAAAAATTTAGCCCCTTTCTTTTTTATAAACTTTTTTTACCAGCCAGTTGGCCAATGAAAATCTGATAAATTTTGCAAGCTTGCTACTATTTTCTAATTAATTTTACCTAAATTTATTTAAATTTCATTAAAAAATAATAAATGCTATACTACTAATGGTATATCTAACTCACCAAAAAAATTATTGGTTATATCTAAAGTATTACTGTTTATGTGTAGAAGATTTTTTTTTAAAGCATGTAGCTAAAATTTAAAAGCAGAGATCATATCATCAATAAAAGATATTATTAATAGTGATGATAATAATGAAGCCATTTATTAGTTATATTTTCTAAAACTATATAAGTTCCGAGCTCCTTTCATTTGATTCCAATACAATTCATACTAACATCTTCCAAGTAAACAATTATTATTATCTATTTTTAACAAATTTTCCATTATATTTTACAACACCATCATACTAACAACAATCATCATGTTGTTCCATTTCGTGCATAGGGAAATAGTTTGGTGAGTTACTGTAAAAATGTCGGTGAAGGCTAAAGCAATGCAGCGAATTGCGAAAGAATTCAGGGACATGTCCTCCCCAGCTTCTTTGTACAGTATTGGTTAGTACTTCTTTTTATTTTTATTTTCTGCATTATCAAAACAAATAATATCCACATTTCTAAATCTAACGATTTTGCTAGTGTCATTTTTGTCAATAAACGTTAGAAACTTGACTATCTAGTGTATGTATGTACCATACTAATATTTCAGTTGTAAATACAAGTCCACAACCATACAAATAAGTAGATTATTATAATTTTATTTTTGGTGTTAAGTATAACAATACTATTTGTTGATGATATGTATCACTACAGGTAGAGACGACTCAAACAATGTATTCAAATGGAATGCGATGATTCAAGGACCCCAAGGTACTCCTTATGCCGGTGGCATGTTTAGCATCGACATTGAGTTTCCTGAAGATTATCCTTTTAAACCACCCAAGGTTGGTTACCTATTACAAATTTGAATTTCAAAGGTTAATTTTGTTGTTTACAAAAATAAATATGTTTTATGGTTTATTTTTTAACAGTTTACATTCAAAACTCCGATTTATCATCCAAATATCAATTCCAGAGGATCGATTTGTCTTGACATTCTTAAAGACAAGTGGACTCCTTCTCTCACTGTTGAAAAGGTTCAAAAACTGATTCATAAATCAAATATTTTGTTTATTTTGTTCTTTCTCATTCTATTCATTGTTTTCGAATTGTTTTAACAGGTGCTCTTGTCCATAACTGTACTGTTGGCGGATCCAAACCCAGATGATCCTCTTGTACCTGAAATTGGAGAACTTTACAAGAATAACAGATTCCAATTTGACCAGAGAGCTCGGGAATTCACCGAGCGACATGCTTTTCTTTGAAGTTTGTCATATCTTTTTAATAATCATCAACTGCTTCCGGATATATGTTATAAATTAAAGTCACATTCTTGGTTCTCCTCGAAATGAATTATAAATATTTGAATAAAAACATGAATTGAATATGCCATGCATAGCATAACATTGAATCAGTGCTGTTTTCTCTTTGAGTAACAAAACCAATACAATGAAGTATTTGTCTCCTTCCGTCTTAAATTAATTACTAATGTTTTATAGTTTTGTATTTGTTTCACAAAAAATATTTTTAAAACAAATATTTATTATCTACTATGTGTAAATACATCTAGAACGAAACATAATTTGAAGTAAGGAAGTTTATAAGAAGTATCAAACCATTACTATAAGTTCTTTTGTTGGACTTTTAAATATGCTTAACTTTTGTATAGCTAAAATTTTTATGGATCCGTGTTTCTAACAAAATGCATCATTACTTAGAACGAAAATTATATTTTGGTCAAACGGACAAAAATTGTAAATTTCAAATGTCTTTCCAATAAACATCAAAATTAAGAAGCATAGTTTTTCCAAAAAAAAAGATCAATTTTGAATAACACTAGAATTAATACGAAATATTTAAAAAATTTAATCGAATAACACCAAAACTTTTAAAATTTAAAGCATGATGTACAAATATCATATTTAATAACACTAGATTTTAATGCATAATTTATAATAAATAATTGAATAATATCGGATTGTGTATAAATTTAAATTTTATTACATGATTGAACAATACCCCTTAAACACCGTTATCATTCACCCATAAAAATTGAAATCTTACACAATTTGAGCTATTAAAATCCTCAAAAAAGCTGAAGATTGTTACAAAAGAGCTTGACTATGAAAACGTATACTTCAAAATAATAAACTTTCGAATACGACTACGTTAGATTTATCTCTTTCCATGAAAAAAAAAACAATAGTTAATGAGTACCATTCAATCTAATTTTGTCTATAACCAATCCATGTTTTATCATACCCTAGTCGTCACAGACTCACAAGTCTTCTCGACCAATAAATCCAATATTATCCATTCACTAGTATCTTCCAAAACACAATGACTTCCAAAACACAACGACCAACAATATTCATTCACTCAACAAAGAATGTTCAACGAAGAACCCGTAAGCACTTTTCTATGCATGGTTTCGTAATTTCACAGAGTAAACAGCCAAAATAAGTAATTCGAACCCACTGCGGGGTTAGTCCTTCATTATCAAGGAGACGACCCCAAGTCAAACACTGAGTGCAAACGAGGATTATTAAATAGCCAGAACTTGGATAGCTTTCTCTAACACCAAGAGAGAAAGAGAAGAGAGAGTGAGAGAGTAAGTAAGGATGGGTTTTGCAGAGAAGAATTCTTATGATATTCGTTTTCTTTTGTTCATATCCATAATTTTGAGCTGTTCTATTTCAGCTTCTGCAACTATCGCAGAAGCAAATGCTCTTCTGAAATGGAAATCCACTTTCACGAACCAGAGTCACTCATCAAAGCTGTCTTCATGGGTCAATGATGCTAACACCAATACTAGCTTTTCCTGCACCAGTTGGTATGGTGTTTCCTGCAACTCACGAGGGAGTCTCGAAAAGTTAAACCTCACTGACAACGCTATAGAAGGTACTTTCCAAGATTTCCCCTTCTCTTCTCTCCCAAACCTTGCTTACATTGATTTTAGCATGAACCGTTTCTCTGGAACCATCCCTCCTCAATTCGGAAACCTCTCTAAACTCATCTACTTTGACCTCTCCACAAACCACTTAACTAGAGAAATCCCACCTGAGCTTGGCAATTTGCAAAACCTCAAAACCCTCTATCTTTCTAATAACAAACTTGCCGGTTCAATTCCTTCTTCCTTAGGGAAACTCAAGAACTTGACGGTTCTTTATCTTCATCACAATTATCTAACTCGTGTCATTCCCCCGGAACTAGGCAACATGGAATCCATGACAGATTTATCGTTAGATAACAACAAACTTACCGGTTCAATTCCTTCTTCCTTAGGAAATCTCAAGAACTTGACGGTTCTTTATCTTCACCAGAATTACCTAACTGGTGACATTCCCCCAGAACTAGGCAATATGGAATCCATGACAGATTTAGCATTAAGTGAGAACAAACTTACCGGTTCAATTCCTTCTTCCTTAGGAAATCTCAAGAACTTGACGGATGTTTATCTTTACCAGAATTATCTAACTGGTGTCATTCCCCCAGAACTAGGAAACATGGAATCCATGACAAAATTAGAGTTACGTAACAACAAACTTGCCGGTTCAATTCCTTCTTCCTTAGGAAATCTCAAGAACTTGACGGTTCTTTATCTTGACCAGAATTATCTAACTGGTGACATTCCCCTAGAACTAGGCAACATAGAATCCATGACAGATTTAGCTTTAAGTCAAAACAAACTTACCGGATCAATTCCTTCTTCCTTAGGAAATCTCAAGAATTTGACGGTTCTTTATCTTCACCAGAATTATCTAACTGGTGTCATTCCCCCGGAACTAGGTAACATGGAATCTATGACAGATTTATCGTTAAGTCAGAACAAACTTACCAGTTCAATTCCTTCTTCCTTAGGAAATCTCAAGAACTTGATAGTTCTCTATCTTTACCAGAATTATCTAACTGGTGTCATTCCCCCGGAACTAGGCAAGATGGAATCCATGATCAGTTTAGATTTAAGTAAGAACAAACTTACCGGTTCAATCCCTTCTTCCATAGGAAATCTCAAGAACTTGACGGTTCTTTATCTTTACCAGAATAATCTAACTGGTGACATTCCCCCAGAACTAGGCAACATGGAATCCATGACAGATTTAGAATTAAGTCAGAACAAACTTACTGGATCAATTCCTTCTTCCTTAGGAAATCTCAAGGACTTAACGGTTCTTTATCTTGACCAGAATTATCTAACTGGTGTCATTCCCCCCGAACTAGGCAACATGGAATCCATGATCAGTTTAGATTTAAGTGAAAACAAACTTACTGGTTCAATTCCTGATTCCTTTTGTAACTTTACCAAGCTGGGATCGTTGTTCCTCCGTGATAACCAGCTCTCTGGTCAGATTCCATTGGGAGTTACAAACTCCTCAGAGCTAACTGCTTTTATAATCGACAGAAACAACTTCAATGGTTTCTTGCCTGAAACCCTTTGCAAAGGTGGCAAGCTTCAAATTATCACTTTAGATGATAATCACCTCGAAGGTCCTATCCCAAAAAGCTTGAGAGATTGTGAGAGCTTGATCAGAGCAAGATTCATAGGGAACAGATTCATTGGAGATATTTCTGAAGCTTTTGGGGTTTACCCAGATCTCAATTTCATTGATCTCAGCCGCAATAAATTCCACGGTGAGATTTCAGGCAACTGGGAGAAGAGTCGAAGCTAGGTGCCTTGATCATGTCAAACAATAGCATCACGGGTGCTATCCCACCTGAGATTTGGATCATGAAACAACTGGGCGAGCTAGATCTATCTACCAACAACCTCTCTGGTGAAATTCCAGAAGCAATTGGAAATCTCACGAATTTGTCGAGGCTACGACTTAATGGGAATCAGTTATCTGGAAGAGTTCCTGCAGGAATAAGTTTCTTAACCAATCTTGAGTCTCTTGACTTATCCTCAAACAGATTCAGCTCCCAGATCGCACAAACCTTCGACTCCTTTTTAAAGCTTCATGACATGAACCTGAGCAGAAACAATTTCGATGGACGCATTCCCCAGCTAACAAAGCTGCCACAGTTAAATCATCTTGATCTCAGCCACAACGAGCTCAACGGGGAAATCCCATCACAGCTTAGCTCCTTGCAGAGCCTAGAGAAGCTTGACCTCTCACACAACAATCTCTCCGGTCTCATTCCAACAAGTTTCGAGGGCATGAAAGCGCTGACATACATCGATATATCAAACAATAAACTCAAGGGACGGCTTCCAGACAATCCAGCGTTTCGAAACGCAACATCAGATGCATTGGAGGGAAACAGAGGCTTATGCAGTAATATTCTTAAACAAAGGTTGAATTCATGCCCTATCACTTCCGGTGGGTTCCAAAAGCCGAAGAAGAATGGCAACCTTCTTGTGTGGATATTAGTGCCAATCCTAGGAGCACTCGTCATTCTCTCTATATGTGCAGGCGCATTTACCTACTACCTTCGGAAACGAAAACCACACAATGGAAGAAACACAGATTCTGAAACTGGAGAGAATATGTCCATATTCAGCGTTGATGGCAAATTCAAATACCAAGACATCATCGACTCCACAAACGAATTCGATCAAAGATACCTCATCGGAATCGGAGGATACAGCAAAGTCTACAAAGCAAACCTCCCAAACGCGATCGTAGCCGTGAAAAGGCTACATGATACAATAGACGAAGAGATATCAAAGCCATTGGTGAAGCAAGAGTTCCTAAACGAAGTAAGAGCCTTAACAGAGATCCGTCACCGCAACGTGGTAAAGCTCTTCGGCTTCTGCTCTCACCGCCGCCACACTTTTCTGATCTACGAGTACATGGAAAAAGGAAGTTTAAACAAACTCTTAGCCAACGAAGAAGAAGCTAAGCGACTCACTTGGACCAAGAGAATCAACATAGTGAAAGGTTTGGCTCACGCGTTATCGTATATGCACCATGACCGATCAACACCGATCGTCCACCGTGATATTAGCAGCGGCAACATCCTTCTCGATAATGATTACACAGCTAAGATCTCCGATTTTGGCACAGCGAAGCTTCTCAAGACGGATTCGTCAAACTGGTCCGCCGTTGCTGGAACCTACGGCTACGTCGCTCCAGGTAAATCCAAATCCCTAAATTTGAATTTGAGCTTATGAAATCCCTAAATTCGAATTTGAAATTGACTTTTCGCAACAGAGTTTGCTTACACGATGAAGGTGACGGAGAAATGCGATGTGTATAGCTTCGGAGTTCTGATACTCGAAGTTATAAAGGGGAAACATCCGGGAGATTTGGTTTCGAGTTTGTCTTCGTCTCCGGGAGAAACTCTGTCGCTGAGAAGCATTTCCGATGAACGTATACTAGAACCACGGGGAGTGAATAGAGAGAAGCTCATGAAGATGGTGGAAGTGGCGTTATCGTGTCTACAAGCAGATCCGCAATCTCGGCCAACGATGTTATCAATCTCCACATCATTTTCTTAGAATCATCTTCATCAATTTCTTCGACGAGGTAAAGAAAAAAACAAACTTGTACTATAGATGTGTTTATCGATGCAGCAGCCAGCAGCAGCCAGCAGCAGCCAGCAGCAGTTAAAAGCATTTTTTAGATAATGGTCATTGTGTTACTCTTTCACACTGTATAACATTCACATAAAGTTTATTTTTCTCTTAATAACATACAAAAAAAGTTTTGGATCACAAGAATTAAAAATCTGAAAACAAGTGTTTATTTTTGTAAATTGAAAGAAAAAGAAAATTCTGAAGTAGGTCGTTAATTTAGTTTTTTGTTTAACGCTACATGATTCGTCTAAACAAAAACCACATGATTTTATCAGAATCTGAGTGACAATTTTAGCCCAAACAGATTTACTTTGTCACCAAACATTTGATTTAGGTTGCTCTAATTTTTGATATGTTGTATCTCTGTATTAATATTACGGAAGTACTTTATTAAAATAAACCTTGCCTCTCATCAAATATTACGTGACAATATTAATGCCATAGAAAAAAAATTAGAACGACCAATTTAATTCACTTCATTCAAGGTTATTAATGGCAAGAGACTTTGAAGACTTTACATGATTTAAAAGTTCTCAAAGTCATTTTTTAACCAATCAAACTTTTAAGACTTTTTAAAATTTTAAAGCCTTTAAAGTCTCTCAGCCTCAATTTACTCTTCTTTTCAGTTTTTTTTTTCTAAAGCCTCCTAAATCGTGACGTTAACTTGAAAAGGAATAATAAAATCTAAACTTTTATTTTTCTTCTTTTCCCATCTAATTTAAAAACTAGTTTTAAGACTATTCCTATTTTATTATTAAATAATTTCTATTGATTAATTCTAATTTTATTTTTTCTGTTATTTTGAGATCCAATTTGAATGTTTTAAAATAATGAATATTTAATATGAAAATATTTATATATTCATTTATTAATGATTTTTTTATTTTTCTAAAGTTTAATCTTTATAAAAAATTATTTATATCATTATTTTGTCAAACGAATTCATTTTATCATAATTTATTATTATAAAAAATATTTAATAATAACAAAAATAATAACTACAGTTTCAACAGTTTTTTTCGTTACCAATCAGATTTTAACAGCCAAAGGGCCTGATTGGTAACAGCTGTAGCTTTACTTTTTTTGCTGTAGAAATATGACTGTAGGTTTATTTGCTGTGGCTGTAGATTTTATTGCTGTAGTATTTTGGCTGTAGAATTTAAAATTTTGGAAAGTTGAAAATTATGTGCTTTAGGAAAAAAGGCTTTCTACAGCCAAAAAAATGAATTAAGGAAATATTTTGGCTGTGAGAAAAAAAAGGAAAGCCAAACCTTCTAAAGCTTGATTGGATGAATTTCAAATCTTTAGAAATTTTTTTGCTTTGTAAAGACTCTAAAGCACTTGCCAATCAGGCCCAAAGTCTCTACATCCAAAGTCTCTGCAGTCAAAGTTTCTACAGTCAAAGTCCTTACAGCGAAAGTCTCTACTGTCAAAAGTAACAGCCGTTACCAATCGGCCCCAAAGTCAATTTACTTTTGAATCCATTTACTCTAATTACGGGTGATAGATCTAAGATACAAGTCTACTAAGATTTCTTTCCTCTAATCCTTTAATCGAATTAATAATTTTATTCTAAACTTCATACACAAGATCTAAGATTTTCTTGTCTTTTTCAATTGAATATACTACTATATTTCCATTTGCATAAAATTTTGCGAAATCTCTATGTTACCACTATCACCTTTTAAAAATCTAATATTTTCTTCTTTTATCAATATAATTGCTCAATCTATGAAGAAAAAATTGTAAATGATCAAAATTTCAGACTTGATTAATATAATTTTAAACAAAAATAAATTCAAAAAAAATTCCAACTGAGTAACGGGTCTAAATTTGAATATTTTTATCCATTTCATACATTTTTTCATATTTAGTTTTATATAATACAATAAATTTTTAAATATTTTAATTTGGAATATTTAAATTAGTTTAACTTGATATTTTTAAAGAATATCATAAATTTAATAGATCAAAAGTAAAAAATTCTAAATACTCTAATTTGATTTTTTAAAACAAATATATTTAAAATAATATAGCAGACGGCGGGTTAAATTTAATGTATTATATGATAGAAAGAGTTATGATCCTTATAACAGATGGCGGATTAAGATTATATGATGAGGGGGCCGATTGATAAAGGTTGTTAACTTTGGCTGTAGAAGCTTTGACTTTAAAATTTTCTGATGTATAAACTTATGCTGTAGAGACTTTGACTGTAGAGACTTTGGCTGTTAAAATCTGATTGGTAAATAAAAGCTGTAGAAGCTGTTACTGTCAATTTTTATTTTTATATATATATTTTTCATCATTGTTATATATATATTTTATAAATATTAATTATGATAAAATTGAATTATGTTGTAACATAGTGACAAAAATAAATTTTATTAATAATAACTAGAGTAGTTACCCACGCCTTGCGCGGCCAAGAATTTTATTACAAAAAAACATTTAAATTTTGATGATAGAACATAGTTATAAGATTTTAAAATTCGACCATAATATTACAAAAGATCAAGCATACTGTCTCTAAAAATAAGTATTTAGACAGTCCTTAAAACCCATAACAACACAAGACTCATCGATCATTTTTGTAGAAAATTCCATGATCACTCAATCATCCGAACCGGAACATCTTGAATTCGTAGCGGCCCAAGCATAAGCTATGGAGAGTGTACTATATATATAAATTTAACTAGTATTCTTACCCCGTACTACGTACGGGAAAATTAATTTATGAAGTTAAGGTAAAAAGATATGTCCACACCAAAAAAAGGTAAAAAAGATATGATCCATTGCTTGTTTTTTGATTTCCTTCGTTCCTGATTTCTGTTATATAAAAGAATAAAAGAAAGATTTTTAGAGAGCAACATGAGAGATAATAGAAAAACTTCTATATATTCCTTTTTTTTATTTTGATAAAAATAATAATAAGAATACACATCAGAAGTAGGAAGAAAATTAATATAATAAAATAATAAAATATACTTACGTGAAATTCAATGTATATACATCTTGAATCTTTTGTCTCTCAACTTTCAGAATTTTGGAAAGAGAAGTAAACCCTAGGTTTTTCCAAGATAAATCTTGCATGTGATCGAGGCTTTATAAACAGAGGCCATAGTAAAAAAAGTAGAGAATAGTGTGAAATCTAGAAAAATTGAACTCGGAGAAGAGACGTTGCATGCCAGCATCGGGTTTATGGATTTTAGGAGAGAAACTGTTATTTTATCTTTTGTGTGGAGCAATCTGACAGACATCACACATATATAAATGATAGAATAGAAGTAGTTATTTAGAGATTGCTAGTGAATGGTGATCGTGGAGGTGTGGGAAAGATAGTGGATTTTGTTTCGTAAACATTTTATTTTTTGAAAAAATCTTGGAAGTTGACACATAGGAGGTTGATAAGAACGTGTGGAGTGTTTTTTCTATTTTGTTTTTTATTTTTTACGTTTTTTAAACAAATTCTTTTAATTTTTAGTTAAAAAGTAAAATCTATGTGGCAAAATCTTATTGGTCAGGTGACTTGTGCTTTATAAGATAAAGGATAGGTCATTAAACGTATGAATTACGTATATCCAACAAATAATATGATTATAAATACTGAATATTACCGTTCTTTGATCTCTTCAAGTTCGTCAAACTCCGGGTCAAGATAAAATCTAGAGCGTCCAAAATAAACGAAGCCTGCACCTTTGTACCCTTCCAAAAGAACAAAAAAAAAAGATAATTAGAACACAAATCCAATAAGCTTTATACTTGTAACAATCGAGATTTTAGGAAAACGCATAAATTAACAAACTTTGCTATCCTACAGAATTACTTCTAAACTCGTTCCAAGTCCACGCTCGTTATATTGCCATAAATTCAGAACCCGAACTCGGATGAGCCAATCAGTCTTGGAGGAATTCAAGCGCGAAACATCGTCAAAGATCTTGTACCTCATCGCCTGACAAAATTAGTTAAATGAGAAAGATCAGCAAGCGCTAAATCGTTATGAAAATTAAGAATCTCATAATGTACTCGTAATCAGTATTGAATAAAGATTATTACACCGGCAACCAAAATCGCTTATGCCTAGTCGTTAACCACGGTCGTGTATGGTAGATATCTCTCTCTCTCTCTCTCTCTATATATATATATATGGATAGACTTAACCAAAGTCATATAGTTATAGAAAAATAACATTTTAAATCGTCGTAATACACACACAATCATAAAAAACGGAAAATATTACGAAAATATTCTATTCATATTTATCTCCAATATTCGTAGTTACCAAATAAAATACCGAGAATATTCAATATAATATTTTAAATATTTTAAAAAAAAGAAATTAACATAATACTCTATATCATTACATAAGGAGAAAAACCCTAAACAATAACCCCAAAATATTCCGTTAAAATGTCAATATCTATATATTCACATATTCATTTAACTCTACAAAAATCAAAAATAGAAACACCTAACTTTTTATGGGCTACTATATAAACATATATAATAATAATATGAAAATTTCTATAAACAGCAAAATAAAAAAAAAAAAATTTATAAGTATATCCTTTTTTATTCAAAAAAAAATAGAAAACTGTTTAATAGTATCCAATATTTGTATATATCAATATTAAATACAATCTCGATAGATTCGGTAGTAAAACATAAGAAGTAGCTATTATCTTAATACTCTTTATGTTTGTTTGTATAATAATATTATATAGGATAAACTCAAATAATACAAAATAATAATTATTTGTATAATATGCAATATAGGATAACATCAAATAATATAAAAAATAATATGAAATTATAGAACGGTTACAATCGGAAAGGCAAATATCTATATATATCTCTTATTTTGTTTGTTTCAAAAAGTTAGATAGAGATTAGCTAATATCAACCCAAAAGATTATCATATAAAAAATAAAGATGCATTATATATTGTTATAGTTGTTATTGATATATATGTA